AACTTGAATTCTAGTTGTTCTGAAACTGACTTCATTATTACCCTAATCTATTTAATTCTTTAATTGTCTAGGGAGTGAGGGGAAGATCTTGTTACATTAAAAACAAGAACAAGAGCATCTCATGGGAGTTGTGGAGGTCCTCTGTGATCTTCTGTGAAAGATTTCCTGTTGTTAATGTTTTTAAAGATTTCCTGAAGCTGGGAATCATTATGGAATGTCTATATTCTTTCAGCAAGTGATAAAATTTGTAACTTTTAATTATGCTTTTTGCCTCTTTAAAAACAAAAATTCACACTGAAATGTAGACCTCCCCCCCTTTAAGTATAGCTGTTCCATTTTCATAATGGTCAGATTGTTTAGTGACTACAGATCCATGGTTAATTTGCTGCTGGTCTCCAGGAGAATTAAACCCTAAGACTTCTCATTTTCCACTTCCAACCCTATCAGTAGTACACCTAATTAACTTTTTTCAATCCTTGCCCAGTACCTTTATATCTTTCATAGTCAGAATTAAACTAATCTTATGAATGCAGAGGTCATTAGAGGACTTGACATACAGCTTCTGGGCACAGTCAGCTTTTCAGCTGAAACAGCTAGAAAATGTTTTTGCTGCTCACAACTTCCATTCAAGACTCTAATGTTTCTGATAGTTAAGTTCTCAAATTGTAGTCCACACTTTTAATGTTGTTCTCAAAATTACAGGAACTAGAAATTAAATGTATTGATGAAAGTTGAAATCATGATAAATTAGAATTACAGGATTTAACTCTGCCCCAATTTGTCCTTTTATAGAATAAAAGCTTTGTAGTATAAAAGCATGAAAATATTTTTCTTGCTGACTGCAAATCTCTAAGTAGATCCAAGAAGAACTGAGACTAAGCGTTACTGCTCCAGCAGTTGAAATAGCAGCACTTGAACTGATGAATCAATCTTGCTCTTTTCCTGTGATTGACTGTCACATTTTACAGGGCATTATTTCCCCAAAGAAGAATTTACAATCAATAAGCAACTTCAGACAAGATGATGTTTATCCTCCCAAATAACCACTCCTTGTTGGCAGTTCAAATTCAAGTTCAGAGTACCTAAGTCATTACATTTGCAATGTTTTTGGCATCTAGCAACCTCGTTATGTAGATGCAGGACATTAAAAATAATTGGTTTTTTTTTTGTTTGTGTTAGCAGTGTTTTTAACAGTCAGAAGTCTTGACTTCATGATTTCTGAGTGCTCTTGCATGAAAATATTGCTGATACAATTGCAATTATAGTGAAGTTTATCTCAAAATTAGTATACTTTATATCTAGTCTATCTCTAATTACTGAATAACTCTTCTTTACAAAAAGAAACCTATAAGAGCATGCTGCATTTGTAGCATCAATATTGATATTCCCTAACAGCCAGGAGCCCAGCACAGGTGCTTGTTATGCTGCAGGCTGCTCTAAAAAATGGGGTAATAGTTTGTATCATAAAATGCTTTCAGTCTAACAGAATTCTTCTCTCTGATTTAGCAGCTTTGTTATCAGCTGCTAAACAGGCCTTCTTGCTCAAGGTCACTACCCTGTAAGTAGAGGTGGATGTAAATTTTGTACAAGCTCCTCAGCCTTCATAGTTCACACTTGGGTATTGAGTTTTTATTGATGCAGTTAAATTCAGCTAAACCTCTCAGCTAGATCCTACTGTGTGCATCCTATGAAGATGTAATAAATGATGAAAGAAAACTAGGAGGGAGGATAGGTGTGAAAAGGGGAAGGTCTGGGATATAACGCAGGTCATCCGGTCACTTCCTTCTCATGTATTGCATGTTAATGCTGGCAGAACTAGTATTTCATTGCTTATGTCTCCTTCATTGCTTTTTGCAAATGTCACTGAAGGGAAATTCCTGCCTGCACTTCAACAGGAGGTTAGAGACAAAGTTTCACTTCGCATCTTGATTACTTCTTTTTTTTTTTTTTTTTTTTTTTTTTTTACTGAGTTCTTAATTAGGCTTGCCTTAATCTCTTCCTTTTCCCAAACAAATGCGTAAGTTTCTCTATATTCCTCTTATTCACTGTTTTGAATATGCTAGGGGACTGAACTACCTTTCACAGAAGGGTAAGGAGTTGATAATCTGCTATCAGATGATGAAACCACTTGAGCAAGTTGTTACATATCTGGAACTGAGGCTGTTTGATTGCTCTGGGATCCCTGTCCCTCTCTTCTCCTGTAGAGATCACGACAAAGAACACAGACAGGAAACTTCCTAAATCCACATGAAATATGATGTGATATAGCAGCAATTAATTCCAGATTGCTAGTCCATTCTGTGCCTGCTGTTCTCCATAGAGTCCACTAAGGAATACAAGACTGGTACCTTTGTCACATCTGTTTGCAGTACTGGCAGCTTGTACAATAGAGGTACCATTTTGGACAGGTTCAGAAGCCCCTGTGTTACATGATGCTGTCCACTGCAGGTCAGATGTTGCTTTGATTGTATATTATGGGTGTTCTGGCTTTCCTAAGCAAACTGTTAAACACAAATATTTCAAAGGAAGCTCACTGTCTTCTCAGAGACTGCATATAAGTAATTTGCTCTTCTTGAAAGTCTTCTCTTGAAAGCAAAAAGTTTTTAATACACTGAAGAGACAGAAATGGGTCTAAGGAAGAACAAACCCTAACAAAATCAGAATTAAAATAGGAAAAAAATGGTATAATAAACAGATTCAAGAGTTTGGTGTTTTGTGGCAGAAGAGCGCTATAGCTTGCGTGTGAATATCACAATTGTTATTAATTATTGGTGTTAAGAGGTCTAAAAATTTGCGTAACAGGATAAATTACCCAAATGTTTATGTAAATCTTAATGTTGATTGAGGCAGGTCACTTAAAGCACATTCTTTTTGAAGTGGTGATGATCCTCCTACTTCTTTTTTCCCTGTTGTGATCTGCAGGTAATGTAGAAATAAGGTAGTCCGGAAAATGTGTCAATGTTTAGTATTGATAAAGATTTAATGATTTCTCTTATCGTAGTTAAATTTAATCTTAATGTAAGGATTGTATGGATGTAACAATTGCGCTTTCATCACAGGACAAAAATATGTGCGGATATTATTTTGCAGCTGATACTGTCTGAACCTTTAAAATCATATCTCTTGCTTCTATTTGTAGAAGAGTTTAGTTACCTTAGGTTGGGAGTGCCAGAACTGGTTGCAACCCAAATGCTAAATTTGTCCTGAAAGAATGGAGCTGCCAATTCCCTCTCCATTTGATGGTAGAGTTACTGAAGATGATTCTCTACAGAGAGTGACTTTGCAGTCGTCTTTCAGCAGTACTGTTTCATGGCAGAATAGTTGTCTGCACAACACCATGCAAAAAAAAGTTGAGTTCAGTTTCCCTTAGCTTTGGTCAATCTATACGGGATGTCATTTTCAGCTAAGATTTGAATAATGCTCTTTAAAGCTTTTTTAACTTCAAATGTTAATGTACTTAACGAACTACTTTAGAAAATTGTATGAAAAATGTATTATACATCTTTTAGCTCTTTTGTTTGTATACATGGTAATCTTTCTTCAGTGGTAACCAGCTGTGTGGATTCTACGGTGGAAGCTTAAACTGCACATCCAAACAATGTACAGTTTCCTCTTCAGGAAGCAATACATTGAGAGATACTGGCATGAGGGGGTCTTTCTAAATCAACATGTTTTCATAATCCTCTGGAAAGAACCGAAGTTTTCTTCAATTTCTGTAGTGCAAACACTTGTACTGTGGTGTAATACTTATCCTTACAGCAAGGCATATTTGACTTACTAAAATTAAAGTGCAGCAGGCAAAGAAGTATAGCTAACAAGTGTTTCCATCTGTTTACCAGAAATCATGGGCATCTGCAAAATATAGATGTGAAATGGCAGGATGTATGTGTATGTAAGATTATGTAACTATCACCAGATATCAGTCTTAAAATGTCATTCAGTAAGCATTCTATCCAGTAATGGAACTTATTTTGAAGTGAGCAAATGTAATTTGGTCTAAAGATGTGGTATTGTCACCCTACACACGTTTTTCCATTTCTGTGCTTGTGAAGATGGTGGATTGTCCCTCTTTCACAGTTAGTGCATTCTAAAATTTCTTGCAAGTATTAAAGCACTTGGAATACTTGCTAATCTTACTGATAAGTTGGTCTTTGAAATATGTTTACTCCTTAACATTTTATCACCATTCTTATTTGATTGTGAGATTAGAATGGAAAGCAATGTAAGCAGACTCATGCTCATAGTATGTGTTCTGTATTTTTTGAGAAAGTGGATGCTTTATGATCAGTGAGATTATACTAGGTACTTAAGCATGCTGAAGAGATTTAATATATGCATTAATTAACATAATTAAAAGATTTTTGAACTTTGCGTTACCACAGTTCTGATACTTAGATGCAAGTGGAAACAAAATCATTTAAAACAACCTCATCTGATTCAGGGTAACAGTAATAAAACCTGGTTTGATGATGATACTGTTCTTGGTCTTAAAAATTTCAAGAATGAAGAATACTACATGGAATCACACCAATTTTCCCTCTACGTAGCTGCTCACCATTGGGGCGATTTAGTTGCTGTGTTCCCATTAACACTGTTTAGAGTGGTGGTGCTAAATTTCCTGTTAGAGCACTGTGGAGTAACTTAAAAAATACTCTGATGTATGCGATGTTTTAGGCACTTTGTCTACCCAAATACTGTCCTGTATGCTCCCAGCAAGTTGTGCGATGATTCGGTTGGGTCTTGGTATTGTGGCTGATCTTTTTAAGTGGTATCCATGAAGTCCTTCTTTGTTTTATGCTTGTGTGGTTTGAGTACAGCAGTTTGACAATTGTTTCCCTCAGCCTCGTAATTGGGGAAAGACATCTAATAGGAAATGTAATAACACAGACAACAACATAATATTATTTTCCTCAGTGTCATGTATAGTCAAGTACCCTGCTACCTGAAGGAAGCTCAAATATACGCTATGCGTGTTAATATTTCCTTGTTTTCTCTTGAAGGATCGTCGCTTTAATGATGAGATTGACAAACTGACTGGATACAAGACGAAGTCACTTCTGTGCATGCCCATAAGAAACAGTGATGGAGAGGTTATTGGTGTGGCACAAGCAATAAATAAGACTCCTGGAGGTGCCCCGTTTTCTGATGATGATGAAAAAGTAAGACTGCCTTCTTCTGTTTTCTTGTATGTAGCCTGACAGACTCTTCTTAAGAGTACCTACTGCAGATACTATGAATAGAAGACTTATTCTTCAATATTATTGACTTTGTAATTAAGTTGTAGTTAATTTCTCAGGTATGACAATGCTGCAGTATTTTATGTACGATTTATTTCCTCTTTTTACCTATCAGAGTGGAGGGAAGAGCTGGTGTTAGTTCTTTGTTCAGTTTGTATCTTGATAATTTATTACTCCACGTTATACTAAAAACTCCTGCTGATCTGTTTTCTAATGCTTTCTTAGCTTTATAAAAAAAATCTGAGTTAATGTCTTAGAAAATCAGCTGTAAAGCAGAAAAGCTGATACTTGTTTCATGAAACCTACAACTGATACACTATTATTGCTTTCTTCTCACAGCTTTTTTTTTTTTCTTTTTTTTCCCCAATTCTTCAGCCCTCAAAATTTTAGCTTCCTTATTTGGCCTGCAATCTGTTACTTATGTTTGAAAACCCTTTTTTGTGTCTTTATATATTAACCCTTCATGACATAGTCTGTTTCATATGGGTTAAGTTCTTTGTAGATTTTAACTTGCAGTACGGAAGCTAGAGTTTCAGAAACCTATTCTCTTGTAAATTTAGAAGCTGTGAATTAAGGGTTTTGCCATCATTGTGGAGAAGCTTAGAGAAACCTTAAGATATCAAATTGCATTTTGAAGGAAAGACTAAGAGCATCAGTACTGACGTATTCTTTATAGATGTTAATGCATATGCCTCCCCCACTGTAGGAATAATAGCTTGAGTAGCTTGTGTTTGAAGTTAGGTAATTTCAATTAAAAATAAACATAATGAAGAATTTGTATCACCAATAAATGAGATGCTAGAAGCTGATTCAGAATGAAATTAAGTTGGTAGAAGCTGTTGCTTTAGGTTCAGATGACTTGTCAGTCTGTAACTATTTTTATAAAGATCAGGTGCACTTGGGAGCTTAATACCACTAAGGTATGGGGAGCAGCCTTTTGTGTTAATGGTGTTTAAGTGCTTAATATAAAACGTATGCTGTAACATAAAACATCTGTTCTGTAAATGCAAGAGACCTTGCCTATTAAACTTCAGCTTAACACTTCTTTTAGATTTTGTTAGGCTTCTCATGCGATACTTTAATGGGAAGATTTCAGCGTTAATCTCTAAATAAAATCTTTCAAAGAATTAATTTTTGTTTTTTGTTGAAACAATAGCTTATTTTCTTTTAATATGAACACTCAAAGTATTTGGAGAAAAAATGGAGAAACAGACAACTCTATTTGTTCTAACAAATATTGTGTGGTGATAAACTAGCTGTGGATTTCTTGTTCATATGTTGGTATTTGGTTTTTGTTTTGTTTTTTTTTGTTTTTTTTTGTTTGTTTGTTTGTTTTTTTTTTTTAGAAAAATTATCTGTAGTAATAAGTTTCTGTGATAGTTTTCCTATAAAATCCTAAGCTTGCTCACCTTAGTCATCAACTCCTCTGAATGCTCTCCATAGGATATATGCCTGTGGCATATACACTAACATTATTCTAGGGGATGTTACATTTACCACTTTATGCTATCATAAAGCATAGGAAACTTTCAAATCCCTATCTAAGGATAAATACTTATTTTCTCCTTTCTGTCCTTTTCATTAAGATATATCTGGAGAGTAAAGGGAGTTCAAGTAGCAACAAGGAGGGCTTTTGAATTAGGGAAAATGGGAAATGGTGCTATTAAAGTCAGGATATCTACACCTGAGTATGAAGGGAGAATGTGAATGAAGCCAAAAAATGACAGGAAAGAAGAGGGTAGAGTCAGCAAGCTGCATAGCAACTCTATCCAGGAAAGAGAAATGGAGTATCCTTCAAGAATGTACTATGAAACAATGCCCGCTTCTGTTTTAGTGTAGTATTGAATCTATTTTTTGTAAAAGCGTAGGTAGAGATGGACTTTGCCCCTGAAACTTACTTAAGCTGACTCAAAAGAACTTAGTACTTGACAGAAAGCCGTTGTTGGTGCATTATTACATGTTGACATTCCTGTGCTATGACAAAGAAGAGGTGTTAAGTGATACCTGCTGGAAAGAGAAAATCCTGCCTCATTGGTTCATTGCAGTAGATGGGAATAATGTTTAGAATCAAGACAGTATGACATAAATGAAATGTCTTAAAGCTAAACTAACCTTGGTTTTTCAAGGCTGTGAAACATTGCACAAATCAAACTCATTTTCTGTAGAAAGCATAGGAATGTGCGTATTCCTTTAATTTGTTACTACATGGCTATTTTTACTACTTATGTATGTGTGGCAATACATTCAAGTCATAGTAGAGAGCCATTTCATAGTTTTTCGAAACAGTGGTTTGAGGATATGAATCTTTATGTGACTAATGTCTGTTAATAGTTTCATGCTCTGATTTATTGTGTAGTGGGAGTAATTCAAAATAGATTGTTTTCTGTGAAATATTGTTACACAAAGGAATGTTTTGCCATCCAGGTAGGAAAATCCTTGCCAAGTGAAATACAACAAAGTGAATACACAGTATCTGAGAGTATAAAGAAGATTTAATCATTCTTGTGCCTTCTATTAACTACCAGGTGTTTTTTAATAGAAACAGTTATGAGCAAATATTTTAGATTTAACATAGCACTCACTTGCTGTTGAGTAGAGATCTTCAAGCAGTTACTCTAAACAGTACACATTTGCACATGAAGAGTCAGCTTTATTCCTCTGTGCTGCTGTATGCTTTGGATACTTTTCCTAAATCTGTTTCGACATTTTGTTCTGATTTGTTCTGCTCTTGAGCTGATTGTGAACTCTTAGTTGAAGTGCAGATTGTCACTGACCTAGCCGTTTGGATCAGAGTTGAAAGATTAGGCTTATGCCTGGATAGTAATATTCTTATTGAAAGTGCATTCAACAGGTGATAGGGAGTGAAACATAAATTAGGTTAATGAGATGAATGCCTATGGTATGGCAGACAATTCAGGTGGGTCAGCTACTCAGTTATTCTAAGGTGAGCTTTATATTATTTGTATTAAAGCTGAGTAACTGGGGCTACCATTCACACAAACATGAGTAGTTCTCTAAAACTCAAAAGGAATTTATTAGAACAATACTCGTTGCAGTGTGTTTAACGTGCTGAGCAACAAGAAAACAAATCACTTATCAGCATCAACTATTCTAGTACCACAGTAAGGTAATTTTTTTTCTTGCAATAATTTTTTTTCCTATGAAAATAAATTATTTCTGCAACAGATGTGTAAAATGAATGGTGCAGTACATACAGAATATGCTAGAATGGGTAGTCAAATGCAGATTGAAGTAGTAAACTTGGACCTTTTCCTGAATGGGTGTTTCTGTACTTGCTTAGTATACCTTGTTCCTGTATAAAATATCATGTTTGAAGTGCTGCCTTTATCTTATAGTACATTTCATCTTTGATAGAATATTCGAATATCATACATTCAACTGGCAAAACTGCTGTGTTGATGTCAACTGAGTATTGCATAAACATGTTAATATAATATTTCATGTTAGTACTGAGGTTGTGGTGTTTTGTTTCCTTGCTGAGGTTACTAAAGATTTTTCACAATCAGCAAGTTTCTTGTAACTTAATTGCCATCTTTATTTTTTTCTAGTCATGTACACTATTGTTACAGTTAGTAACAAATATGTTTCTAATAATTCTTCAGTAATATATTAAATGGGTTCTCAAATGTAGTCTTTAAGGGAAAAATAAGTGAGAAGGTAAAAATTACTGTGGTCTGTAGCAAGTCTAGGATTGGCTGTGGCTTGGCAGCCTATGTGCTATTTTTGGTTATGGTTTTTGTTGGTGTCTGTTTTGGTGTTTTTTTTTTTTATTTTTTATTTTTTTTTTAAGATTCTGTGCTCTTAAGCTTTTTTCCCTCACTGGTAACCTAGAAAACATGATATAACTCTGGGAAACCAAGAAATGCACTTCCAGGAGAATGTCTTGCAGGATTGGTGAATGCTTTTTTAAAGACTATATCAGAGGAGGCAAGAGAAAACGAGGGGCAAGAAAAGAGACTTGGAAAATGTTTTTGAAACAATGAAAGGAAAATCTGCCTGGGTATTACGGTGCTTTGTGCAGTAAAGTCTGATGACAATCTTGCAAGCAAACCCCATTTTATGTTGATGTCAATTTCTGACAAGTAGCAACTTCAGAATAATTATAAAATGAGACTCTAATAAACTGACCTTACCTCCAGGCCCTTTCAAACAAATCTCAGTATTTCTACGTATGACTTCTGTTAGAGGTGTCTTTCTATACTCACAATTATGTGAAGCAATTCTATCTTTTTTTGCAAAGCTTCTAGACTATTGTATAATAAAATGTCACTTGGGGGCACTAGTGCCTTGAGTCGATAGAAAACAAAGAATAATGTTTTCAATTACAATTAAGTAGATGCTGGCATCACTTCATGTATTTTTAGTTATTTTTTTGAAATTTAGAGCAAATAAAATATTTAAGATTTGGGGAGTTTTGAATGCTCCCAAGCTGTAACCAAGTTTGTTTTGCAACATGTAAAATAGTAGAGTATTAGATTTCCAAGCTTATGCAATTCTTTTTCATGGCAGACTTTCAGGTTTTTCTTCTGTGTCTCTGGCCATGGTGTTAATATCACTGCTAAGTTTTTTGCATGTAATGATTGCTTCCAATTGCTAAACAAACTGTTTCCTTTTGATATAAAGGATGATTCAACCATTTCATTGCTTGGAGCTACACTAGACCTGACAAATTGCTGTACAGGTTTTACATCCTCAGCATCAATGGCTTGGTCAGCCAGAGTGATGTACAGATTTCTGTTTTGGTATAGACAATTACAAAAGTATTGCTTAATTTAACAGTCATTGCCTTACACTGTCATTACCAGGTAACTTTTAAAAATAAAATAAATTCTCCGAAGAATATCAGTTTTCTTCCAACAGTGGACATCAGTTCATCTGGAAGGCTTAAAAACAAACAAAGC